GTATAGTTAACAAACAATACAATTTAAAAATGGGCATATAGTTTTAAAAACAAGCATATAGTTAACAAACAGTATAATTTGAAAAATGGGCATTTTTTCCAAAGAAAACATTCAGATGGCCAATAGGTACACGGAAAGATGTTCAACATCACTAATTATCAGGGAACTGTGAATCAAAGCTACAATGATATCACCTCAGACCTGTCAGAATGGCTATCATCAAAAAGCCAACAAATTCTAAGTGTTGGTGAGGATGTGGAGAAAAGGGAAGCCTTGGGTGGGAATGTAAATTGGTGTTGCTACTATGGAAAACATGGAGGTTTCCCTCCAAATTAAAAATAACACTGTCATATAATCCAGTGTCATATAATTCCTGGGTATTTATACAAAGAAAGTAAAAACACCAATTAGAAAATATATATGCACCCCAATGTTTATAGCAGCATTGTTAACAATAGCCCAGATACAGAAGCAACATAAGTGTCTACCAACAAATGAATAGATAAAGAAGATATGGTATACACACACACACACACACAATGAAATATCAGTCATAGAAAAGAATGAATCTTACCATTTGTAATAACTTGAATGGACCTGAAAGTGAAATTTGCTCAGTCACGTCCGACTCTTTGCGACCCCATGGAGAATTCTCCAGGCTGGAATACTGGAGTGGGTATCTGTTCCCTTCTCCAGGGGATCTTCCCAACCGGGGATAGAACTTGGGTCTCCTGCATTGCAGGCGGATTCTTTACCAGCTGAGCCACCAGGGAAGCCCTCAGTCAGACAGAGAAAGACAAATACTGTACCCTTTCACTTACACGTGAACTCTAAAACACAAGCAAGTATAACAAAACAGAAACAAGGGCCATAGATACAGAGAACCAACTCGTGATGAGAAGGGAGAAGGGCGGGAGGAGGGGTGAGATCAGTGGGGGGATTAAGAGGAACAAATTCCCAGTTATCCAATAAAGGTTACAGCGCTGTGACATGCAGCTGCTGACTCTCTCCCTAGATGGCTGGATCCTGATAACAGTTCCAGCAGGGTGTTATTCCACCAAGGGGAGTTGTGCATTATTCCTGCACCAAACAAGTCTGGAACAGTATCCTGGTTACCCACCACACCCCTGACTATCTCACAAGCACTGAGTATAATCTCAACACACCCACAAAAAAATTGTGGCTTCAGAATCTGCACGAGCTGCTGTGAATGGACATATCAGAGGGTACCCAGAAAACATTAACGCCTCCATGCACCAGGCGCAATGCTTCCTCCCAGCTGGCATTGCAGCGGTACTGAAGACCACCCCAGATGGGTGGTGGCCAGAGTCCAGGCATTTTACCTCCGGGATCCCACTGACCTGCAGGCCTGTCGTATTTGCAAGACATTCTCGCCTGAAATATAAAAAATGACGTCGGTCACTTTCACTGAATGTCTATATGCACAGTTGGTGCAACAAAAGTTTGTGCCAGACCAGTGGAGTGGATACAAGCTGCCTCCTCTGTCTCATCCCCAGTCCTGAGCCCATGAATTGGGCATGAAGTGGGCTCGTGGATCTGAGATCTTATGCTCCAAATGTAGCACATTTTTCTGACTCCAAGAAATGCTTTGTGACTGCCTCACCATTCTGGGCTGGCTTCCTTAAAAGCCTGAAAAAGAATGATCACTTCAAGGGACCGATAGAAGGTTCCGCTTAGTGCCAGGGAAGGCTAGAGATGGCAGAGAACTGCTTCCGGCTCTGTGTACAGCGGCCAGAAAGCACACGCAGAAAGAATCCGCCTACCATTGCAGGAGATCCCTGGACCCAGAAGATCCCCTGGAGGAGGAGGAAATGGCAACCCACTCCAGGATTCTCGCCTGGGGAATCCCATGGACAAAGGAACTTGGTGAGCTGCAGTCCATGAGGTCGCAGAGTCAGACACGACTGAGCACCACCACCACAAAGCTCAGGGAATAAATATAGAGTCAGCATTTTATAATAACCTGGTATGGCGCTGGGGCTTAGCTGGTAAAGAATCCGCCCGCAATCCAGGAGACCTGGGTTCCATCCCTGGTTGGGAAGATCCCCTGGAGAAGCGAAAGGCTACCCACTCCAGTATTCTGGCCTGGAGAATTCCATGGACTGTATACTTCATGGGGTCACAAAGAGCTGGACATGACTGAGCGACTTTCACTTCACTGAATGGTGTGTTATCTATAAAAATATCAAATCACTTTGTGGCACATCCAAAGCTAATTTAATATTGTAAGTAAACTGCAATTAAGGACAAAAGATACACTTAGAACCTATAACCTAGGACTGTTTCTACCAAAACCAGTTTTAAAATTTAGCTACCAAACTATGGGGCTTCCCTGGTGGCTAAGCTGGTAAAGAATCCACCTGCAATGCAGGAGACCTGGGTTCGATCCCTGGGTTGGGAAGATCCCCTGGAGAAGGGAAAGGCTGCCCACTTCAGTATTCTGGCCTGGAGAATCCCCTGGACTCCAAAGTCCATGGGGTTGCAAAGAGTTGGACATGACTGAGGGACTTTCACTTTCATCAAACTATACTTCCAGAATGAAATACATGTGATTTTCTGTAAATATGCAGGACATTTCTTCGCTTTACCAAGGACTCTCTCTGAGTTCAATCACTGAATATATAGCAGGGTCAATAGCACATGGCTTGAGTCTGCAGCTGTGACTTTGGAACAAGATATAAAGAGGGCCAAGGACTTGTCCGGTGGGTTGTACGCTTCTTATGAGTTTCTAATGTAGGTGCACGCACCTCACCAAGCAGTTATGGGACAATCTTCACCAGCTGAGCGCTGCTAATGACGCAAGTTTACATTCTAATTTTGAAATCCTGTTGATTCTGCTTTAGTGCCTCCTAATGCCATAGCCCTTTTTCTATGGCCTCTTTCAATATTTTCCTTAGGCCCTTATCTCCTGGTAGTTAATCAGAATAATATTGCTTCCGACACATCTTTTCACATTATTACCTCGACTCTCATGGCACTGTGAAATAGATACTACATTTTGTTGGTTTCTTGATACATAAACCATTTTTTCACATTGTAACGTCTTTGAAACTGTAATAGGTTTTATTCTCAATGACCACTTACTCTTGCTCTTCATGTAGTAGCGGAGCTGTATTAACAGGAAGGTATCAGTAGTGGTGTATTTGTCATTGCCTATGCTAGCTCAGTCTGACATATTTTTCCTGGTGAAATAAATGGAATTCATTGTTGTCAACCGCTAGCTCCTAACAGACTATTCAAGGAAGGAATATGAGTCTTGGTTATTGCCTTAAAACCTTCTATTGAACAAACTGGGACACTTTCCAGCAACAATATTTTCAGAATGAATGGGGCTTTAAAATTGCAGAAACAGTGGTGCAGCATTCTTTAAAACATGGCACGTCACCGGGGCATCCGCGGCACAGAGGATGTTTCCAAACAGATGGAACATGGGTGCAGGCTGCTCTGAAACTGAGAGGGACCCAGGAAAGGCGCATTGTGAATGTGAAGAAACTTCAGGAATACCCGGAGATTCTCAAACTTTATTGGTTCATGACATTTCTAGGGTCTGAGTTCTTTTTCCTAGCACATCTAGGCTAAAAGCAATACCTTACAGTTTCATTTTTTAAATCCTTTGATCCAGCAACTTAATAGCCATTTGTAAAAATAACTTTTGGGGCTTCCGGTGGTGCAGGGGATAGCATCCAGCTTGCAACGCAGGGGCTCCGGTTTGATCCCTGGCCCGAGAAGATTCCACGCGCACAGAACAACCTAGCCCAGGCACCACAGCTGCGGAGTCAGTGCTCTCGGGCCCGCGAGCCCCAAGCCCTGGGCCGAGCCTCCGCCGCCGCCGCGGAAGCCCGTGCAGCCTACAGCCCGCGCTCCGCGACTAGAGAGGCACCGCAGTGAGACGCCCGCGCCCCGCGACGGAGCGGAGCCCCACTCACAGCTAGAGAAGGGCCACGTGCAGCAACGAGACCCAGGGCAGCCAAAAATAGAAAGAAACATACACAAATAGGCTCTAAAAAACCTTCTCAATCTCCCTCTTAGATAACGAGACTTACGCACTAGCGGAATGGGTGTGCTTTGGGGCCCTGCGCAGCTTTTCAAACCGTGGGATCAAACTGGACGCTGACACCTTCACTTCCCGCCCCACGTCGTTTTTCAGTACTGGCCTTCTTTTATCACAGCAATTGCCAGTAACCCAACTTGACAAAATACAGCGTCATCAGAGTGTACTCTGATCCCATGTTGAATTTATGAATAACTTGGAGCTCATAGTTGGCACCATGTCTAACATATGTCAAACATTTTGTGTTTCCCCTGAAAATATAAACTGTCCCACGGTACCCGGTTAGTTCACTGGTCCTTGGGGTGACTTGGTGTGTATTTTGGGAACCATGACCTTAACCAATCCATTTGGCTCATGGTTTACTTTTATGAATGCAGAAGGGTAATACATAGTAAAATAGTAATGTCTAAGTAAGTATATGAGACCAATTCAATACTTCCTTGGGGTGACTTGGTGTGTATTTTGGGAACCATGACCTTAACCAATCCATTTGGCTCATGGTTTACTTTTATGAATGCAGAAGGGTAATACACAGTAAAATAGTAATGTCTAAGTAAGTATATGAGACCAATTCAATACATATAAAATAAACACTCCAAAGAGACAAATCATTTTGTCATAGTTGTAGTGACAGAAACTTTCCTTTCTTTGAGGAACATAAGTGCTTCTTATAACTGATGGCATCTTACCTTCTATAGATCAAGCTAATCAGGCATTAGATTCTGAATTGATCTCCCAGCCTCCAGCACTTAATGCTATGCTCTTTTGCCAGATTCGTTACCCTAGCTCAGAATTTTCAACACTTTTCTTTATCAGAATATTCAAAATTTGCCTTTGCCTGCATGATAAAATCTAGGTTTCTCAATGTGACAAGTAATGCTCTCTGCAGTGTTTTCTAATCTACCCACCTCTGTAGCCTTATTCTTTACCTTTCAGGGCCAAGAGATGCTCAGCTTGCTTCTTCCAGTAACTGATAAAGCACTTCTCCACTCCAGGCTTCAGTCTCCCCATCTATAAATTGAAAGGTTGTGTCACTTACGCAGTTCCTAGCTTTTTGAAAAGAAATATGGAGACTGACATAGGGTTTCCAACATTTTAGTCTATGATTAAATTTGGTGTTCATATAGTTGGTCTATGGTAATAGGACTGTATTGCAAATAAAGTGAGCTATAACAACATAAATGAAAAACGCGGAATGAAGTTAGCTATATAAAAACTCAGCAACTGGCGTTTAAAGAGCATCTGGGTTGGGGTGCTGGGAGGGAGGCATACCTTTCAGGGTGTGGAAACTGCACCCCTTCTCCCAAACCTTGTCCTGACAACGCCTCTTCCATCTGGCTCTTCAGAGTGGTATCCTTTTATAACAAACTGGCAATCTAGTAGATAGAAAAAGAAAAAAACACTCAGTCCATCGTCTTTATTGTTTTCACTGGGTTTTGTGGACCTTATAAACCATTGAGCCTTGGTTCTTAGGCCAGCATACAGGCCCATCTAGATTCTTACTATTCAGATTGAAGCGTTAAACCGGGAGCATCACGTCACCTGGAAATCTGTCAGAAATGCCAAATCTCTGGACCGGTTGAATCAGTCTCCACTTTGAACATGATCCCCTGGTGATTCACAGATGCATTAAAGTATGAGAACCCCTTGGACCCAGCACTATCCAGCAGGAGCATTTTGGTCACCTCCATGCCCTCCTCCCACTTTCATGCATTGGAGACGGAAATGGCACCCCACTCCAGTGTTCTTGCCTGGAGAATCCCAGGGATGGGGGAGCCTGGTGGGCTGCCGTCTATGGGGTTGCACAGAGTCGGACACGACTGAAGCGACTTAGCAGCAGCAGTATGCCCTCCTCCTACTGATTCTTCAGGTTCATCTTTGCTCCCCTGTCCTTTAGCTCTGCCAGGCTTTAGTCAAGTTGGTTTTCCAGTCTAAGTCACCACTTTCTCAGCTATGAAATGGGAATGATAGTATCGATTTCATTGGGTTGATGAGCTAATATATGGAAACTTGGTGCCACAGTGCTTGCGTAGCTGCTCGTGTGGTTGTTCCAGCCAGAATGGTGACAGCGTACCACACAGACAAAGCCCCCTGCCCTGGGGTGTGGGCACTGCTAACTCAGTGCTTGTTGGCTACTGGAGCCTCATCTTGACTTGCTAGGCAGCTCCTCATAGGCCTGGTGGGTCCTGGAGGTTGTCAGAAAGCTGACTGTGTCAGAAAGCATCCAATGCCAAGTGCCTCATTTCTGTGTTTTGTCCTCTGGCACTTGACCCTTGACAGGCAGGCGTGGTGGGTGGAAGGCTTTCAGGAAGCCTCCCTCTCAGAGCCTCTCCTGTCCTTCCCCGCGAGGTTGCTGCGATGCAGGGTGTCCCAGCAGCCAGCCAGGGTGAAGGTGTCCTGGTTCCAACCAGACGCTGTCTCTCTGCATCACGCTGCTTGTCTCAGCTGTTCAGCGTGGACGTCTGCATCCCAGCCCCACTCTCTCACAGCTGTCTGCTCACAGACGCCGATGGCTTTAGGGAACACGTCTGTCTAGAAGGAAGCAGCGACAACGCACAGGCTGGTGCTGGTGCTTCGTCCACTGCAGCACCACAGACGTCCTTTCTCCCTGGCCTCCTGTAGTGTCAACACTACTGTAACAATGCCTCGAGGGCTTCCCTGGTGCCTCAGATGGTCAAGCATCTGTCTGCAATGCTGGAGACCCAGGTTCGATCCCTGGGTCGGGAAGATCCCCTGGAGAAGGAAGTGGCAACCCACTCCAGTACTCTTGCTTGGAAAATCCCATGGACAGAGGAGCCTGGTGGGCTATAGTCTATGGGGTCGCAAAGAGTCGGACACGACTGAACGGCTTTACCTTACCTTACGTTCTCTAGATGGAAGCATACTTCCATTTGACCTGGGTAACTCTAAAATAAATAAAAATTTTTTAAAAAATACCTTGCAAACTTTTGATTTAAATGTTAAAGCAATTTCAGGGAAATAGAGATCCATCACATGGTTCCTTTGGGCCTTCTCTGCCCCCAGCTCTAATTGATGCTCATTCTTTTTCGGTTAAATCACCAGGTTTATTTTGGCAAATCTAAAGTAAACACACTTCGCCCTCTTTCTTGCCACTCCTCTTTGGTAAAGTCAGGGCTGATGTTTGTGTGAATCAGTTTCCTGAAACCAGGTCAACATGAGCAGAGAGGGCTTAGAAACCAAGGCCCTCTGGTGTTCATTGGAACAGCTTAAAATCTCTTCTAAACTGAGGCCATCATCCTCACTGGGATTTCATCACCATTTGGCTGATTAGCTTCTCTTTCTATTACAAGCCCTAATAAAGGCTGTATGTCTCATTGGAAACACCCAGGTTCTCTGCACCCTCAAACCTACCATTTAAATCCGAGACGCTCAGGGAGATCATTAATTCAGACATTTGACTGAACAGAGCCCTTTATCCATTTTTTCCCCCAAAGTAGCAAGTTATGCTAAGTGCAGGAGAGGAAAACTCAATAACTCATGGAAAAGGCATTCATTTTACTTTTAAATTTCAATCTCCAGAGTGAAGGGTCAGGAAAAGCCACGACAGAAATTCCTGCAGAAGAAAATCTCCCTGTTGCCCCACAGCCAGTCATCTTCCTCCTGCATAAATCATTGCATTCTGAGCCATGTCAGCTCCAGCTGTAATCCGAATGCCAAAGAAAAGGGCTTTCTTCAGGGCTTCTGAATGTGACGGTCGTATTTATTTTGGGTCAGCCTGATGGATGAAGGGCCCTTTCAAAATAGCACGATTCATTCGAGAGTCGTTCCTACATATGCTGTTGGTGCTGGCCCAGTCCCGCTGTAGGAATGAGGGGTCTGCGGTGCTGTGCACAGCCCCGCCTGCGGCATACACTGGCCTCCTACCCCCTCCGGGGCCACCGTGCCGGCCCTCCACATCCTCATGCTTCAGTCTTTCGGTGGGATACCACGATGTGTAAAGATAAGGAAGGTGTATATTAAAAAACGGAGACGTTACTTTGTCAACAAAGGTCCATCTAGTCAGGGCTATGGTTTTTCCAGTGGTCATGTACGGATGTGAGAGTTGGACTGTGAAGAAAGCTGAGTGCTGAAGAATTGATGCTTTTGAACTGTGGTGTTGGAGAAGACTCTTGAGAGTCCCTTGGACTGCAAGGAGATCCAACCAGTCCATCCTCAAGGAAATCAGTCCTGGTGTTCATTGGAAGGACTGATACTGAAGCTGAAATGCCAGTACTTTGGCCATGTGATGAAAAGAGCTGACTCATTGGAAAAGACCCTGATGCTGGGAGGGATTGGGGGCAGGAGGAGGAGGGGACCACAGAGGATGAGATGGTTGGATGGCATCACCAACTCGATGGACATGAGTTTGAGTCAAACTCCGGGAGTTGGTGATGGACATGGAGGCCTGGTGTGCTGCAGTGCATGGGGTTGCAAAGAGTTGGACACGACTGAGCAATTAAACTGAACTGAACTGATGCTCTTTTAAAAATTCTTTTATTTATTTTAAAATTTCTTTTCATTGCTCTGGGTCTTCACTGTTGCATGTGGGCTTTTCTGTAGTTGCAGAGAGTGGGGGCCCCTCTCTAGCTGCAGTGCCCAGGCTTCGACTTGCCATGGCTGCTCTTGTTGATGAACACGGCTCTAGGGCAGGTGGGCTCAGCACTCACAGTTCCCAGGCTCCAGAGCTCAGGGGTTGAGGTACACGGGCTTCGTTGCTCCATGGCAGGTGGGATCTTCCTAGATCAGGGGTTGGCAGGCAGATTCTTTACCACTGAGCCACCAGGGAAGCCCAGGGTCTTGACTCCAATCGGTAGCCAATGAACAAAGTAGAAAATCTCACAAAGCTAGTTTTCCAAACTGGATATTCCTGGGCTCCTTAACCCTTCAGATTCTTTCCCACCCTCCGCACAGTAAGAGGCTGGAGGCCGGCCTCCAGCCGGCAGAGAAGAGCACGACCCGGGCTTTAGCGACCTTGCCTTGCCTTCCGCGTCTCTCCCATATGGCCCGCTTTCTTCTCATCGCCCGTCTTCCCAGCTCACCTGCGGGGCTGTGCTAGTAACCCTGTACTGCCCCTTTCCACTTTACTAGAAAACGCCAGCCTCTCGCCTACAATCTCTGGTGATGACACACCTCCACATACCACTCACCCCCTAGGTCCTCACTGTGGAACAAATGTTAGCGGTGTCCTGGTTTGTTTGTGAAGGAGGAGATCGCAGCACAGAGACTTGGAAGGTCCCTTCCCCCCTCTGCCCCTGCACACCCAGGGCCGTGAGCGTCTCTGCCATGCCAGCAGCCTCACTGTGCTCATGGCAAAGGTGAAGGAGGTCACCGTCCTCCTCTGTTGTTGAGGTTCTGTGACCCATGCAGGTGAGGGCTGTCTGTGAGGGTCTCAGACTGAACTTGTCCGTGTGCTTCTGGGAGGGGAGCATGGAGGAGTGGAGTAAAACAATTCAAGAGAAGACGCTGGAGTTCTTATCCAGATTAAAACTCCTCCCTTGCAAATTATTTTTCACTAGGACACACAATCGGGTACATTAAACACACCATTATTGCTTCTGCACCCCACGTATTTTACTTAATCTTCACAGAAACCCTATAAAATAGGTGTGGTTACTATTTTTTCTTTTTTCAGGTGAGGAAATGGAGGTTTCAGAAGATCAATACTTTGGCCCCAGTCACACAGTGACTCTGATCCAGAGCAAAGATCTTAGTCCTGCACTGGAATGCTGCTTTCACAAGAACTGTTGGAATGAATGTGGCAGAGATGAGAGGAGACAATAACCCACAGAGGAGTTATTTTGCAAACAGTAAACTAGAGACTTGGGAATAGAAAGATTGTGTGGACCCACTATCAACTTTGGAGAGTCAGAATATACATGAGGAGTGAAAAAGTAAGACAGCGGAAGGAAGAAATGAAAACTTTCAATTATTAGGGAAGAGATCAAGAAAAAAAATCAGTTGATCACACCATCTGCCCTGTATGCTGTCCTTACCTCTGTTACCTATCCATTGAGACCACCTGGGCGAAATCCCAGGCTCTTGATTGCTCTCCAGGACCTGCTGGGACCGCCACACAACTGATGGGCGTGAGCATAGAAACCAGCTCAAATGGCCCTTCTCCGCCCCAGGATCACTCTGGCCCTGTGCCCATTCCTGCCTCCTGGGACCACCTTGATGGTCCCCCTTTACCTGTTTGCACCTGGCTCTGCTTCTGGGTTGTATTGACTCCCCTTTCCAGCTGCCTGATGAAAGTCTCCGCTGGGAGCATCGGCCATCCTCAAACTCAGTTCTGCCAAGCTCACCTAATTTCACCCCAAGCTCCTCCTCCTGACTCCCCGTTTCTCCAGTCAGCCAGGTTTGCAAACAACAGTCATCTGTGACGCCTCTTCTTCTTTCTCTTCGCAGATTTCAGCTGATAACCAAGGTGATGCAACTTCCATCTCTAATCCTTCACTTTCACATGAGGACTGCAATTCTAGTTTGGGCCCTCGTTTTCTTTTTCAGAAATGATTATTGATAAGAGAGCCTCTTATCTCTCAACTCTCTTATTTTCTCCTTCATCTTGGGACCAGATCGTTCTGGAATAATTTTCACTATTCTGGTTCTCTGCATTATAATGTGTGCTGACTCTCCATGGCTGAATCAAGAGCATATTCTTCAGTTTGGTTTCAGAGCCCCCAAAAGGAAAAACCTGCTCTTTTTCCTTCCCAGAAGCCAGCTCTTGTTTTGGTAGCGTCTTTACGTTTCCTTATGGGGACTCATTCCCTTGTCCATGTGAACTGACTGGCACTGATCCCTCTTCTTGGCTCCAGGAGTGGACATAAGACATAGTAACTGGTTCAGGGAGAGGCAGAAATGACTTAAATCAGATCAAAGAATCTCTATTCTGAGTCTTGGTTGAGCAGTTGAGAAAAAGAAGCTTGTTTTCTGTTGAGACTGCTAGAATTGGTATGATAAGAGACTGAAGCTGCCAGGAGTTAACAATAAAACGTGCTAATGAAACCAACAGGGAGAAAAGAGGTGACATATACAGGGCAAGGTGGGAGTCCCCGGATCCAGCTTTGATTGAAGCCAGAGCTCCCCTTGACTTTGCAGTGAAGTGGGCCAATTGTTCTATTTCTGAGCTTACAGAATCCTGAACCTAAAGAATTCTAACATAGCCTTCGTCTACCCTTTCAAGTGTCTCCTGCCCCTCTATAATTATGCCAAACTATGTGCTCTTGCCTCAGAGCCTAAAGATCTTGCATGCTCAGGCCTGTGCTGTTCTTCCAACACGGAACACAGCCTGTTGCCACCTCCACCTGCCCAGTCTTTTTAGGTCTGTTTTGGATGTTACTTCCCATCTTGTGTCTTTTCTGCCCTGTGGCCACATAGACTCTTGCCCCCATTTGAATCCCACTCTCCACACTGAGGCTTCTTTGTCATTAAGGATTTGGCATCTTTCACCAGTGGCCCATACTAGATGCTCAATAAACCAGTGTGACTTGGATCAAGGAGAATAGGAAAATGAAGGGGTTCCCGTGTAAAAATGAAACTAACATTTGTTGCAGAGAGCTGACTTGAAGTCCTAAGAAAAACAACAGGAATTGCTTTTATCCTTTCTACTTACCTATTCCAGAAGATACATAGAAATTTCCACTGTACTTCCCTAATCACATGAGTGACAGTAAACTATAATTTTGCGGCACAAAAGCGCTTTAAACCTGTGGGAAGCAGCAGTACTTCTGGCTACAGGAAAACACTTTATTTACTTTGATATCGGCCGCTTCCTTTTAAATATAGACTTTGTTGTTGTTTTGCTGTTGCTTTAGTGTTTGGGTTTTTTTCTTCTCAAAGTCAATACTGTAGATTTATTTCACTAGCAATGTCAGTATTTCTGAGGCTATTGTATTGCTTTCTTCTTCAGAGTACTGCAAATTCTTTGAGCCTTGTGGGTTTTACCATGACACTATTTGAAAGGAATGTTCAGTTGTATTCAGTGTTTATATAACACCTGCCAGCTTATCCTCTAAGTGATCTATGGCTCCTCTATGGAAGAGGAAAATAATGACGCTGCAGTCTGGCAGAAGAGGGGCTCTTTCTATAAATGCTAACTGAAGACCTTAAACAAGAAAAATCCTTGAGTCTCTTGTCTATGTGGTGTCAAAGACTCCCTTTTCACCCCACAAGTTAAAATAGTTACTTTGATGTCATATAAACACAACCTATGGAATCAGACATTGAATTCAAAAGGAATCCTAGGGCTGAAATCCAGACCTTTCCCCCCAGCATTTCTTCACTGCCATAGGCTACCTATACTTGAAGAGCTTCTTTATAGTTTAGCAGAAAAGAAATCAGGGAGGTTGTGTTTTCCTTGGTAAGTAGCTTAGAAAAGGAACTTCAGGTAGTCTATGCTTTTTCCCCACCTTCCTGCACTGGTATTTTTAGCGTGTGGGACTGTTATTTTCATGAAAGTTTAAAAGCCAAAAAGCATGCTGACCAAGGCTGTCCTCCGTAAAAAGGATTCCCCAAAGCCCTGTCTGATGCTACTGGCCTCCATCTCCTTACTATTTCTGCTTTTCCTACTCCTGCTGCTTCCTACCGACTTCCTCTCTTTACATGGTTTCTGTTTATTGTCTCATTACCTCAGATTAGTCATGACTTTGATGTCTTACTTCCTCCCCTTGGGTATTTCACTTTATCCCCCAAATGGATGGTTCATTCTAACACCTTAAATTCAGAACTCTTGAGAGGGATCTTTCTAGGAAAAACTCACTTGTTGGCCCTCCTAAATTGGGTTGGAGACCACATGTAACAGTGAGATTTTGGGAAAGATCACTTCTGAAAAGGGCTGTGGG